CTTTACATGAAGATTTTTTAAACGTAACCAAAAGATAGGCTATCTTCCATACCACTCAAAATAGAAAGGCTACATTTTGTAGCAGATTTCATAGACAATTGCATTCTGCCATAGCTGGATTTCTGGGATGCAATTTCACATAGTAAGATAAGTCAGTCTGATAACCTGCTCCTTACTGCCAAAATTTCTATTTCTCCTCTATCTCCCTCTCTGTCCAGTCCCAACTATGCACTCCTTCCAGTTTCCTTATGCATCATTCTGACTAGCACCAGAGGTAAGCACCAGATAATTCAGTTCACTAATGTGGCAAAAAGTAACACAGCAAAAAAGAACTAGTATTTTGCCAGGTTGGTGAATTGGATTGCTTACGGAAACATCTGATAAGCACCAGAGTCAGAGCAAGGAAAGTGTCCGGACCATGCAGCTAAGCGAAAGGTGGGGGCAGAGCATCACTTCCACTTTCATGTGCCAGGGAGTCAGAATAATTTTGTTTGCTTAGGTATAAAATGGCTGCTATATTGTCTGATAACATTGGATTACAGCAAGCTGTTATGTCTATTAGAAAGGCCTTGCATGTGTTGTGGATGGCTTACTTTTTTGCTCAAGCAACAAACAGTGAAAATGAAGATTTGCATGCACCATAACCTGCATCCATGACAACATGAAGCCCATAAGTCTAAAGAATTTGTATTAATTACAACAATAGACAACACTAAAACATGTCCAAAGACATATTACTAATTTAAGCCTGTTTGATGATGGATAAGCTTTCAGTGGTGTGGAAGCCATTCTGGACCCAGTAAGTTGTTTTTTTTGCACTGGATTTAAGACAAACTTTCTCTCATTTCTTAATCAGCAAAGATGATAATAGCTATAGAAGGGTCTCTTTCAGAATTTCTTACTGCAGCTGAGCACCAAATAATCAGCAGCTCAATACAAAAATATGTAGATGCTCTATTCTATATGTTTGAAGTAGGTGGCTGTACTGGCTAAGCACATCTTTGATGTGATGGAAGAAGTCCAAAGGAAAGGACTCAGTGACTCCTGAAAGTACTTATAATGAATTTTAACAAGCACTTGTGAGCTGAATAAATTACAATATAGAAATATGCATCCTGAAATCTGAGAGCAACATGCCACTTCTTCAGATCTGATACTGGAATAATCATTGCTAACAACACTGATTTTAATCTATTTATTCAGATCAAGAATGTGACAAACCCCCAGACTTCTCTTTTTCCTCTGAAATGAGGAAGAGACTTAAGTCTGACCAAGTCTTTTAATTTCTCACCCCCTTGGGAGGGGTGAGAGCCTTGTGAGCCTCTCTACACAGAGCGCCTTTATTACCGGGAGGTAAAACTGAAGCTGTTTGTGCGCTCTATAAAAAATAGATACAGAACCTTCTCTGATAGTAACCAGAGACTGCACACTTCCTTTTATTGTGTGTAATGTCAGAAGGTTCTCCAGACTGGGACTAGACAATAAGGATATGGAGACGATTAAGAAAAGGAATTCAATTTCATAGCCACTCTTTATCCAAATGTGTTTGCCTGAAGCAAGGATAGTCCATGTAGAGTGGTATCAAGCAATGATCTGAGCAATGATCAAGGGTATGGGAGCTGAGAACAGGTTTCAAATAGGAAAAAAGTCCTCAGAGGTGAAATAAAATTTGCTGTGTTTAGAACAAAGGAAAAGAATGACCAGATGGCATAGCAATCGTTTCAAGAGTGGGGTTTTTGCCCTTTATTTGCAGATTTTGTTAGTTTGTGTTGGTAATAGGAAGATACTCTTTCATCGATGATTTGCAGCGCACTCTCATTCTGTGGGCTGGAGCATAGCTGTCCCTGTGAGGATCCGGTACCCAGCAGTCATCAGTGTAGGTAAAACCTGCATTGTTGTTTGAAGTTCCTTGAGAATCCCACAGAGACTGCTAGGATCAGTAGAGCATAGCAACAGCAATTCCCATTGCTACAGAAGCTATAGCAGTTGCATCTAAAGCAGCCCGAAAAGAAATCTAGGAGAAGACAAATTGACTGTCATACCAAAATGAACTTTCATTTATCTCTGTACCCCAATGGCAACTTATGAATAATATACTCTATTTCAAGCCAATTTAGCATAGTAAATTTCAGTACTGCTGCTGGATCACTTGAAATGATCACCTGAAGGTGTGATGTTAAACATTAATTCGCAACACAGAGGTACACGCTTCATTTTCTTTGGAAACAGCTTATCTTTTGAGACCTGTTAACTTATGACCAATAGACATACCAATACTTTGTGAATCTTTTAGAAAGACAGGGAAGCAACAATACCATTACATGACTTACACTGGTCACAGGAAAACTTGTTCTACATCATTACATGAATACTAAACATAAATTCTGTCTTGCTATGCCTTTGTGTTGCCCAGCACAACAGAGTCTGATCCAAACTAGGCCCTTTTGGTGCTACCAATAAATAAACAAATAAATAATTGGGTGCATTTCTCTGATGGTAGCCAAATAGTCTGTCCTTTCACTCCATCCACAATACTGTTTAGAAGCATCAGCCAAACACAACGTATATGTGGAACGAATTCTCTTTCTGCTACCTAACTCATTCATGGCAGAATGAAATTGTGCGGCCCTGTTAAAAAGTATTTTTCCAGGATACTGTGGAAGACTCAGAGCCATTAAAATCTACACTTTTTTCAGTTTGCTTAAAAAAATTCCATTATGAACTGTATTTTCAGGTGTAATACTAAATCTGTTACATCTTGACTTGAATTTTATTGCCTGATTTCAACAATTACAAATGGTTGCAGCAAGACTGGCTTAAATGAGTGGTGTTCCATGTGTGGTCCCAGGCCACACTGATTACTGTCCTGCCTTGTGTACAAATGCAAAGTTATTAGTCCACAACTAGGCTTTTTATGTAATAGGTTCTGTGAACCTTTGAGAGGCAAGTGGAGAAGCCTTGGTTAAAACGAATAAATAAGCAATCCCTTTCATGGTACCCTCTGCCTTCAAAGCACAGCTTCCATTAACTCAGTGCTCAGTTAAGCAAACCAGGCTCTGTGCACCTAAGCTGAGAAGCATTTATGTTATGCGATGACATGTCTTAAAAAAAAAAAAAAAAAAAAAAATCAAATTCCCGAGTAATCTTGATGCTCGTTTGATTCAGCTACTAGAACTGGTACACAATTTTCTGTGAATGAGGTAGGGGTTTACTAGCAAAACTGGAGAAGGGATATTAAAGGGAAGGGTGTTTCGAAAAACATTCTTCTCCCTTCTTCCTCTCACCCTTTATAATCCATTTCCATAGAAGATATATAGAGAGTTTTATATAAGGTTATGGATATAGCTAATTTTCCACTGCATGTTCCATTCCTGTGGCAGGGGACAGGCAGGTTTAACTTAATTCTACATGAACCTGTATTAATTCAGGCTCTGTACCTGCCTTTTTCTCAAAGGAGGGATTTATAAAGGTATAGGACGCCAAGCCAGTAACAGCACTGCTCCTACAAAAGCCAAGCTGCTGAGATGGAAAGAAGAGATGGGCTCAGGAGTCAATCTTCTGCAAGGTCTTCTTCCTGCATCTACATTACCCATGAAATTCCCAGTACCCCCACTCACAGAAGATATCAATGAAGTTTCCAGAGACAAAGCTCCAGCTTTCTAACCTTGCATACCTCCCAAAAGAAGAAAGCATGACTACTAGACTTGCACTTTCCCAGAAGTGCAAAAATTCAAGGGGATTTTCCTCTTTGCAACTGAACAGAATATATTCAGTCTACTTCATATAGGTAAATATTAAGAGTAGAACTATCACAGCAAAGCTTGTCGCATAACTAGAGGTTTAGTTGGGTCTTGTGAGAAGTTCTGGATCAGACAGAAAATGAGGCTTATGAAAACACAACTGTTCAGAACAAGAGCACCCAAGAATTGAGGAAACAAAGTTTTAGTCATGTTACATGAAGCACAGACTGGTTCTCCAGGAGGAGATTTTTCTTTACTTTGTAACCTGCCCTTGGGTTCATTAGGTTTATAGTTTCCTTGGGAACAATGGTAGCAAAAGAACCAGGAAAAGATTAGATTGGTATTTCATACAGCATTGTCCCCTACTTTAAACCCAGAATTTATTTAGCTACAAAAAGGTTGTAAAAAATATTTGTTTCTTACTTCCATATCCCGTAACTTTTAAGTCTTCCTGTAATATTCTTTCCTCTATTTTCCTTACTTTATATGTATTTTCACCAAATCTGAATACATTTGAACCATGACAAACTAAGAAAATTATGCAGATAAACATTTTGAAATACATCACATTTAAATATTCTCAGGTGTTTTTTTTAAATCAATGTTTTCAAATTTTCATTACATTTATATTTGATTTATTTTGTATAGACTTCTAACTTAACATTCCTACTGTATAAAAAAAAGATACATAAAGCGCTGGCACTGATGTACCTTTATAATTAATGAAGGGAAACAGGCACTTTTAGAGTGTTTCACCTTCTCCTCCAGGAAGAGGTGAATTCTGCCCTAAAATCACTTGTTTCCCACCATTCACTTGGAAGAGTCTAAACAATATCTCACACATAGATATCTACAGTGAAGATGCCTACAGTTGGCTAGCTGCATTGCAGCAATGAATTTATTTATTGCTAGCACAACATTAACAACTTGCGCATTACCACTTTTTAGACTACCTTTACATTCTGCAAAGTGTCTACTTTTCATGCTGAAAAACAAAAATTAATTCTGGTTTATATTAACCAATATATGCCAAAACCATATGCCAAAAACTCAATCAAAAATTTTTCTTTGGACACCTTAAGGACCTAATGGTAATTCCTCAACACCACACCCTTTTCCAGTCCATCTAGTAAAGCAAAATGAAGTAAAACATAACAACATAAACTGTTGTTATCTTACCTGAGTACTTGTAGAAGATGATTCACATCACTCTATTACAAATACATAGAAATGGTGTAAGTTCTGAATGAGAAAGGATACATTCGTATGGCTCCTGTTCTTGTTCCAATTGCCAGAACTTTCTGAACTGGGTCAAAAGCTAAGGCAGTGGGTAGATAAGGAAAACCATGGCGCACCGTCTGAAACAGAACAAGTGAGCAAAGTGATTGAAATGTAACCACAGATAGCTGCATGTCTGTTTTATGTTATGCGTATAGGAAGAGAATCTATATTTTGCTGTATGTTGTAGTATTTGCAATACATTTGAAGAAAAGTATTTAAAAAGATATTTTGAATACAGAGGTGAATTTCATTCATGTCAATTTCTAGATATGCTCTTTACTCAGTAATATTTTAAATGGTTTTGTTGTAACAAAGTAGATTGCAAAGTATATGTCAATATACAACTGGTATATATTGCTTATATGGTATACTGAAAGATAACCTCAATATGCAAGGCATCTGAACTGTAAATTGAAAAAAAGACACATAATATGCTTTTAGAACACTGTCACAGATAACCTCAGCCTCAACAGAACAGCTTCAGCAGAAAGAAATGGAACATGTCCAGGGGAAGATATCCAATAAACCAATAAACTGAATTGAGTCGACGAGGTAAAAATCTTTAATATCAATTTAAAAAACAAAGATGCCAGAGAAGGTGTTCTCAAAACGAGCAACGGAACCACTCACCCTGTCTTAATCTTTATTTATAATACCATGCTTTTAATTCTAATTTTTGCAGACATACCTTGGGGAATAAATGAACTAAGCATGATGCAACGCATCCTTGAGTTTGAAGGCTGCCTCAAATAGTATTTTGAGTTATCTTAACCTGGAGGTTATGACCAATATGACCTGCCTGATTCTTATGAGGAAGAATCTGATGAGGGAGAACACTAATATAAGAAAAAAATGGAAAATAACTAGACTAGACAAATACACATAAAAATGGACTGTAATTCATTTTGTGTGTGTGACTGCTTACCTAAAATTGGGTAGCAAATAATATCTTTTTTTAGTATAATAATGTTTTATAGTATTTAATATAATATTGTACTCTAGGATTGACTCATTTTTTAGTATATGGTTGGGATTGGAGAGGAATTACTTTGAACTGAATGAAATTTAACTTTTTAAGGTATTTTTTTCTTCCTTGAAATTATCTTGTTCACGAACTGTGTCTGCTGAAGCATTCAGCAGTCCCTATGGAGCAACTTCAACAAAAGGGATTCCTTAATTGCAGACCTGTTGAGTAAAAGGCAGCTGATGATTTCTACAGCTGTACCACTGCAACTCTTCCATTACAGCTGGAAACACTTCAACTGATATTCACAAGTAGTTTGGGAACAACTAAATGTATGTTTTTCAGCAAATAACCATTTCTTTAAAAGAAATCTTACTCATCTCATATCTTAATTATTGCTGATGAGGGATGTCTTTTAAAAGAATGTCTAATTATTAGTTTATTGACAGCAAAAATCCAGAAGCACATGCTACTTCAGTAAGCTGTAGAAAAGTAACTCACTTCTTACGTTGATGTAGACATTTATCAAAGATGTCCACAGCTCTGTTTCTGATTTGGTTTGCTTTGTGTTTTTGGGGGTTTTTTAAACCTTCTTATCTTCTCAAGAGGTAGGGATTACTCAAATATAAAATTTTTTATTCTGACATCTAAGCTGGAACTAGACTTACATACTATAAAAATGGTTTTACCTCTCACGTCAGAAAAACATCAGGAATTATGAATTGTATTTTCTAGTGTGTTGAATGTTTGGCCTAACTGCATTACTAATTTTCTATTATATTTGATATTTCTGTATTCCTGTGAATAAATGTTCTTCCTTATCTGAAAAACACATATTTCACACATGATCTTTTTTGTTATTAATTTTTAAAAATCCTCTCTATAATAAAGCTTTAGTATCTAGCAATTCCAATCACAGTAAGTTTTTCTGATGTTTAGCTGTGACTGGAGCTTTCAGTACTATTTTTTAGATCTAAGAATGCAAAGATCAATATTTTTAAGACTTATTTGCATTCTTGCCTATGTATTTAGCATCTGCTTTGTATTTTCAGTATTTCTGCAATCTACAGTCAGACTTTTCATTTGGAAATTTTAATCTGGTCCTGTTGAGACAGAACTATGTTTGAGAAGCACCGTGATGTACATCTTTTCAGGATCATAGTTCAGTAAAAAATCTTGAACTCTAGGATTGACTCAAAAGTGTTATTTCTATTTTGTAGCCATTTTCCAAATTTGAGTATTTACACTAATTCCAATTGGGAAGTTCTTGTGAGTGCAAAATTCAGGCGTTTGTAGAATAAAAAAAAATATTGAAGTCTATTGAACATCCAAGTAAATGACAATTTTCAAGTAGAATATTTATATTTATTAGGACAAAAACAGTTTGGAAGGATACTGTACACAGTTAAGGCAGAAAAAGATGTCTGAGATTTTGGCACAAATTAGAGCAGCCTCAGAAGTGATTCTGAAGATCAAGCCTATTCAACAGAAGAACAGGGACAAACTGTAACACTTCAGACCCCCAGACTCTTGTCCTCAGCCTTGGTCCAACACCCTTCTATTTCCAAGGACTGGGAGAAAAATAGATATGAAAAGCTAGCACTTGAAGTAGATTTTTCAATTACGCATCGATAAAGCTAGTGTGAGCATACACATAAGAATGAGTAATGATTCTAGAACTATGCCTGGGCTTCCTTACAGCATTTACCGATACAGATGATGAAGAAGCAGGGAAGGCCACAAAATTAACTTGATTCTAGGGTGACAAAAAAAAGTATGTTCCTACTTAATCTGAGTTGTGTTCAGTGGGCACAATATAGACCAGAACTATCAATGGTGAGCAGAAAACGCAAAACAAAGTAGATCTTTTTTCCAAAACTAAACTACCTCAATAGCAGGCAAAAGCAGAAAAAAAAAAAGTATCCTAAAACATCACTCTGTGTTCAAAGAAATATAGGACCTACCTATCCTGAATGCCCTAAGAAAGAAAGTAAAAAAAAAAAAAAAAAAGGGAGAAAAAAAGCAGACAGCAGATGGAGCCAGGACTGCTTTTCTCCACATTATCCAGCTTTCTTTTATGTCTTCTTTTCTGGCATGCTGTCTCTATAGGCAGTCTGTGCTCCCTAGGCCATACAGTTTATGTGCAATGTGTGAAATAATTTATTTGAACAGAACAATTACAAATGCAGCTACAATTTCAGCATAAATCTTTGTTCAGCCTTGTTATTCTGTTTAAAATTCTCTTTTAAATCATTTTAAGCAAATATTCTTACGGTGAATTGCATGTATATATCATTAAAGTAATATTATACAACCAATTTACCTATATGAATATAGGAAATTGATTATTTGGGCTTGCTAGTATTCTACCAATGAACATTTTAATATGCTGTACAGAACATAATCTCTTTCTGTCTAAGATACCATGATATATTTCATTAGCTGAAAAAAAGAAAATCGCACTAGTAATAATATGCAATATCCAGTATAATTGTTCACATGGTGTATAATGCAATTTTTCAGTACAAAAGTTTTTCTTAACTTTTGTTCTATGGTAGTTTATATTAGACTGCAAAGACACCATTTTTTCAAAGTGATTTTTATATTCTCTAAATAGCTCCAGAAAATACAGGACTAAACTCAATTTTAAACTGTATCAATTAAGTAATAGGGCTTATAGTAAAACCTGTTCCTGCTAACTTGCATAAACTTAAGATTTGTAACTTTTCTACTAATATTTTACAGATACCCTGTTTTGTGTAACACCTGACAGCAAAACTGATTTACTTAGGTAAATAATTATTGAGAAGATGTCTATTCGTTAAAACTGAACTATGTAGTCTAAGTCTGTGACTCAGGATGTAGAATCTGCTTCCAAACTGCAACCAACATGCCACATGCAAAAGTCTCATTGAAGCAAGTAATTGATTGGTTTACAGAATAGAGGATGAAGTGTTGACTGAAACCTATATAGGCTCTTACTCAGCTATGTAGGAAATTAAAAAATGTCAATGATCACAGCTTTCACCAAGGTTGTAGGGGTGAAAATGGGTGCTTATAAAGATGAGCTGCCACGCATGATATCGCTATAAGACCACGACATCCCTCACTTATAGGCTTCTGTGCCTGGAATCTCTGATTGGTAAGACTGCTCCCTGCTCAGGAAAGATGGAAAGAGGACAAGATATCAGTAGGTTTCCAACCTAAGAAAATTATACAGGAGGGATACATTTTTTATTAGTTAAATTTTCTTTTTTCAAAGGAATATTTTTTTGTAAAAATCCCAGCTTAGTTAAAACTGTCCAAAATTTCAAACCCAAGCCACGTATTCCATTTAGCTCTTAACCTACATTAGGAACCAGGGCTTCTGAGCATGTCCACAGGATATTCTAAAAACTACCTATTTTTCTTTTTCTTCAATAAAGATACCCATAGATAGTTCTTTTACCGTATGTAACGCTTGAAACAGTCATATGGAAAAAGCCATCTACAAAAGAGACTGGAGCTGTAGACTGGGAAGGCTGATTGTTGTCCCTGGCAAGATGGTAAAATAAAGACTAACTGAGCACACGGATAAAGATCATTGCAGAAGCCAGCAGAGTTTCTACAATGGGAAATCCTGTCTGACTAGTTGTCTCTAATTCTATGAAACTCTCAGCATGCATGTAAATAAAGGGTATATGAATATATAAGTTTTCCAAAAACCTTCCAATAACATTCCACAGCAATGTTATTAAAGAAACAAAGTTGTCATGGGACTGAAGAATAGTTTTTTCACAGACTGAAAGCTGGTTAGGTAACAGAAAACAAAGGATAGGGTTTAATGGATTTTTACCATGAAGAAAACTCACAAGTAGGGTACTCCATAGATGAGTGCTTGGACCAATTTGATTAGTCATCTTTAATGATCTATAAAAGGTAGCGAACACTGAAATCTCCAAGTTCATAGCTGCTAGTAAGCTCCTTTGGATAGTGAAATTCAGTACCAATGGTGACCAGCTCCTGAAAGACCTCATTAGCCTGAGTAAGCGGGCAAGAAAGTGATAAATGAGCTTCAGTGTGGATAGATGTAAGATAAGGCATTTAGAGGGGAAAAAAAAAAATAAATCTTAA